TTTCCTGTATCCATGGCACTTAGAACAATGCTTGGACCACAGTGGATGTCCACAAACACTTGTTGAACAGATGCTGTCCCCAAAAGGCCATCCGAAAATAATCAACAGGTTGAGGGGGAAGCATGAAGAACAATGATTGAACGTGCTATCATTCCACGTCAGTTCCTAGTTTAGTCCCAGTAAGTTCATCTGATTAAATGGAACCACTGCCCTTCCTACACAGACAGCCCTGAAGCAGCAAGTGGAGACCATGTCTTTTCCTGCACTCGGATCGAACCGCAGTCAGCGTTAGCATTTCTGTGATAATTCTCTTTTGATATGATAGTACGCCAAGTGTTTTAAGAATCGCTGCCTCCTTAATACTCAGAGCTCCTGAAGGATCGCCTATTGACTAAAATTCCTTGGCTCTCCCCATGAGAAGTAAAATGCTAATGTCTTACCTGCCACTCCAACAATAAGTATACATTTCATACCCAGTCTGTCATCTACGTTTTCTTTTCCCAATTACTTCTGATTACAGAGAAAATATTCTGTTCAGTACCTAGCACGCCCTCAAACTAAAAGTATTTCAATAATGTTTGACTTGATAAAGTGGCAGGAGCTGAGAGAACACTCTGGATTCCTAACCTCTTGCATCCCGCTCTTCTTATTCTTTGAGATACTTGGTAGAGAAGGTTGGTGAGAGGTTTATAACACATAAGGCAAATCATAACAATGTTTATCAGCACGTAGTCACCCTATCTTCGCTGAAGAAGGGCTCAGTGTTCAGGTGGCTTTAGGAAGACGTTTTACGCAGTGCCACGCTATGGTAGATTACCAGGAGACAAAGGTCTACAGTTTTCTTTAAAAGCCCCAGAAAAGAGAGGTTTTGTTTTATTGTTTTTCCTGTCACTGTTGGGGGGCTGGGGACATGAAGAGGGAGAGAAACACTTCCTCCTGGACAGCAGCTGCTTAAATGACCCTCCATGCCCTCTCCAGATTATTCTACACTAAATTTTAAAATATAAGCAGCTGTACGCTTGTGCTGTTCCTCATAAAGTCTAATTTTGTTTTTTTCTGGAACAGGTAAAACTACAGAAATTTTTAAATGCTCTTCAGCTTTTAATTAATATAGCAGAAGTCCCAAGACAACAACTTTCACTATAGCACATGACATGTGAGATCCTTTGCACATTTTTTCAAATACATGATTTGTTTAGCAGCCTGTGGGAATTACAATTCCATAGAGAATCTACCTTAAATTTTATTCGGGAATAAAACCTAGGCTAACTTGCTAAATTACTACTCAACCACAAAAAAAAGAATTCTTTCAGCACATGGTACAGTCACAGAAATACAATATTGCAAAGCTGTAGCTTGAAAGCTTTTTAATTTCAAAACAGAATTTCAGTTGGGAAAATATGTACAAATAAAACCAGACTTTTACATGACAATAATATAACTATTTAAGCAGAATGCCCTTGGTTGGTAGAACTGAACAAGCTGCACAGTTGTTACCTTTAGAAATAGAGCAATCCAACCAACCAGGTGTCAAACTTCTAAAGGGGCTACTGCAACATCCCATTTTTGGGTTTTTTGTTTTTGGGGGGTTTTTTTGCCCTAGGTTCCCAAAATCAGAAGCACACATCATCAGCTATCGCTATACAGTATCATGGAATAACTACAAACGATGCTGGAACCTCGTTAGCACTGAAAGATAAAATGCCATAAGTTTAAAAATTAAATCATGACCAGTTCAATGGAGCTTTTTACAATAAGCTCTTCTTTTCTTAAAAATATTATCTGTATTACAGCTTTATGATGAAATTGGCTTAAATAGAACACCAAATTAAATCATGAGAAAACCCATTCTCCAATGCATTACAGATAAACAACCCATTATTGCTTCATTTTAGAGTGTTAATGTAAACACGAAGCTGCAAATAAGCGATCAAATGGAAGTTATTCTTTGCCAAACTACGCTGTTCGGTGCCACTCTGTCAAACTGACCGCTCTGCCAGTGCAGGGGCGGCCGGACACCCGTGGCCGTGTGGGTATAATTAAAATTAAACACGTTTAATGGTCAGCTCCTCAGTCCCGGGAGTCGCACTTCCACTGCAGTAGTGGCAGACGGTGCCTACCGCGCGGGACAGCATTTCCACCATCACTGGACATAAATGCCAGATATCCACCACCTGCTGCTGAGCGATACGGGCTCACCCAAGTCCCAGGGCCCCAGTGTGGCACCGCAGGGTACTGTGTGTGCAGGCTTTCTTAATTCACTTTTTCAGCAGAGGTAAAAACAGAAGTCTTTATAAAATCGTACCTACAAAGAACAGTGAAGGCTTTTAGAGTTAACTAAGCTCTTTCATCAAATATTGTTTGACTGTAACACATCACAACATGACGGTAATGAAAAAAAGATACCTGATACAATTTTAAGTCGCTGAGAGATTTTGCTTTTAATAATTATTTCTCTTTGATAATGAAGTGCAATGAAACTGGCTCCCTAAAAAGCCATGGTCTCAAACTGCAAATGAACCCTTGTTTAATGAAGAAAAACAAGGTGTCAAGCATGAAAGATTAAGCAGTGTCTCCTCGCCAAGTTGTGGAAACAGCAGAGAATCAGCGGCACCCACTCCGGCAGGTGTCTGAGCGTGACGGGGCAGCGCACCCCCTTCCGCGGCGCCCCTCATTACCTCTGTTGGGACTCTCCGTGCTGTCTCCTTATTTTTAGTTAGCCTGCTAACACGCACCTTCCCCTTCTGGTTTTGGGTCCAATTATCACTTCAAGTCCCACATGAAAGAAAAATCACTTGATTTTCTACCGCTGGGTGAGAAAACACATCAACACAATTTATTTGCACATTTTTAATACGATGCAGCCTACATGGCAAACTGTTCCCTGCAGAATGCCTTTAGAAGCGAGCCAAAGGATGCACTTTTAATGGCCCAGAACCGTACACTTCAAAATGGTTGAAGTGCTCATTCTGATATTAAGTTCATTTCCCCACCACAACAAAATAGCATATCAAGGCAACTGTCTACATTCCGACACTGTCCATTTTCTTGTAGGAAACATAATGGTTTTCCTGGTAAATCAGTTAGGTTTTTCAAAGGAAATTCGAAACCTCACTCAGTGCTAAAATAAAATCCATATTAGAAGCTAGAGGTGAGAAATATATTTAAGAAAACAGTTCTATTTGCAAGTACCCAAAATATTATAGGATAAAGATACATATAACATGGGCTTACTAAATGAAAATCTATTTTCCTATGTTTACGTTTTGCAAGAATAAAAAAATCTCAATCTAACCAATGTTGTAAATTCAGGAGAAGCTCTTACCTAGCATCTATTCTGAGCTAGGCACTGAACTAGTTACCTCGTAACCAGTAATTCCAATCCTCACAACCACCCTAAGGACTCAGTACTATTATTATCCCCATTTTACAGATGATAAAACTGAGGAACAGATCATTAAAAAAGAAAAAAGGCGTACGGTCGCAGAGGTAGCAGCCGAGCAGATACTGAGTGGTAATCTGGCTTCCAAGGCGGCAGGCACGCCAGCACACCATACTGCCAGCCTCTCCATTAAAATCCTGCCCTGGCATTAGAAAGGCCATCAGAAAGAACCACCCTGCAAAATTCAAGATAGTCCCAAGAGCTACAAAACTTTTCACAAAGTCTGATGATTTGGTATGCGGTTGGGGAGGAGGCAGCAGAAGGGTTAAGATACCTAAAGGGTATCTTGAAATAAAACTGATCTTTAAGGAAGAAATCATTTGCAACAACCAACACTTGTCTTGCTCCTATTTGTAGGAAAAATTCACAGCCAGCCAACAAGAGTCACGCTGAGGCAAACAAATGTAAATCCCAGGAATAAACATTTTAACAGCAAACTCCTTCCCGCTTTTCTCTTGTCTGTATCTAGTGGACGTTCCCATCACAAACCTAACTTCATAACCAGGCATTATACTAAATTAGGGCACACACTGCTATCGACTCTTTCACGTTCCTTGACTCCTAGCAGGACAAAAGATCCCGAACTATCTAAACTCAATTATCGAGTCCAATAAATTCAGTCTGTTCCCTACATGAAAGTTTAGGACACGTTCCCATGACACAAGTAGAGGGGACCAGGGGACAGAATAATTCCACTCTGCCTCTGTGACTGCACGGAAACAAACTGTGCGGCCGCGCCGCTCCGCAGATTGTGTAAAAGTGAACGTTGCTTCTTTGTTTGAACAAATGAAGCCTTGAGAAAACTCCAAGACGATCCTGCTTCCGTGGGAGGGGCGCAAGGACAACTTTTCTCGAGAAAACGCACCACACCAAGTCTGCAGTAGCCACTGAAGCCTCCCAGACTGTGTGGCCGGTGGCGGAAGAGGCATTTCAAAAATGCATCAAGCCCGCAGTACACCTGTGGCCTGGTGGCCACGTCCGAAGCCCGCGGGCCCAGGAGGAACTCACTGAGCCTCTAGAGCGAGCAGGCACAGGCGTTTTACTGCGATCCAAAGGGGTGCGATTGCATTTTTTAAAACCAGTTTTCCAGAAAGACACAGAGCGGCTTTGCTGCTACAGCAGGTCCCAAGATCGAAATTCAATTTAAAAAAAAGCAAGGGCACTCCTTTTCACTACGTATATTCCACTCCAACGAAAAGTTGTTTGGTTTTGATTTTGTTTTTAAGACAAAAGCAGTTAAGATTCCCGGCTTCCCTGGTTTTGACCTTCAAGAACTGCAAAAAGTCAGGATCCAGCCAGAGAGAAAAAGAAAAGTTTGAGTGGCTGCTCTGAAACCGCTGCGGGGACCCTCCTCCCGCGCAGGGTCTCCCCGCTCCCGCCCGCCGGCCGTGGCTCGGGGTGGGAACCCGCAGCGCGGAGCCGCGGCCGCTCCCCGAGATTCGCAACACACCGGCCCCCGCCACGCGGGCTCAGGCCCCGGATCGGCTGGGGACCCCCGCCCGCGACCCCACACACTTCCGGGCCCGACGTCCCGGCCCCAGCCCACCTGCCCACTTACCGGCATCATCTTGGACCCGAACCGCATCGAAGCGGGTGGCCGAGGGCGGCCCGGAGCCGAGCGGAGGCGCCGCGGGGGTCGCGGAGCGCGGGGGAGGGGAGCACAGAGCGAGGCAGCCCTGGAGGCGGTGGACCTGTTGCAAGGAGGCAGCGGTGGTGGCGGGGCGGCGCACGGGTCCGCACAGCCCTCCCCGCGAGCTGGGGCGCCTCCGAGCCCCGGCCCCAACCGCCGCAAGGCCCCGGACGCGGCTTTGTCTTCTCCGCGCTCGCGACCGCAGGGCTCCCTCCTCCGCTCCGAGATCAACTAAACCCGGGGCCTGGCCCCCTCCCGGCCCGCGCCGGCTCCGCCCCTCCGCTCCCCAAGGGAGGCGCGGGGACGGCAACGCGCGCGCCTGCGCGGGCCCGAGCGGCCAGGGAGGCGGAGCGGCGGGCGCGCGCCCGGGCCGGGAACCGGCGCCCATTCCTTTCTTTGCAGCGGAAGAGGTGCAGTCGGGGGCGCGCGGCGGGGCGACGGGGACGCGCGCCTCCTGGAGGAGCCACGGGACACCCGAGGAGCAGAGGGCAGTCACCTCCACTGCAGCTTCCAACTGTGCAAAGGGTTGGACACTTGGTCTTCGGGATCCCCGGGCCGTGCCTCGGCGCCCCGACTGTGCCCACCCCCTTGGCAGCCGGGCTCCGCCGGAGCGATGGGCCGCTCATGGGAGGACGTGCCCGCCGGGATGACTGCTCTCCCGGCAAGCGGCGAGGGCCGCCCCGTCCGACGAGATGAAGACTGGCGGCGGAGGTTCAGCCCCCAGCACATTCCGGGGGTGCCGCGGGGGAAGGCGCTCCCTGCCTTTCATCTCAATAGCCCTGGCCCAGATTCTAGTTTTAAACTCCTGTGACTTTCCGTAATTTACCAAAAGTACACTGAAAAATGACTCAAATGGTTAAAAAAAAATGTTATGCATATTTTACCACAATAAAAATAATAAATAAAGCCCCGCAAAACGGTTCAAAATATGTCAGGCAGCATTGCAAGGAGCTGCTTTTCCGCTGCTCAGGAATATGTTGGTTTTCCTGAGCTCCTCCTCGTAGGGGGCGGGAGCCAGGCCCGGGAGCCCGCCGTGGCCAGCCTGGCGGAGGAGGAGGGCTGGTTCTGGCACCTCTGCCGCCTTCCTGGGAGTCAGACTCCGGAACCCTCGCCCCAGGAGCTCTTCTGGTAAAATCGTCGGGGAGCCTCACTCGGAATCCCTTTTCGCTGAGAGTCTAAATCGTGGAGTAAAGCCCCCGGATTCACCCAGCTGCAAGGATGGGCAGTTATTTGCTTGTCCAACAAACCCTTACCGGCTTCTCCACCGAACTTCCCACAGCACCCTCCCTGTAACGCATCGGGAAATACCCAGCCACGGCTAATTTATTTACAATTCAGAATTCTCCAAAACCCTGCTTTAAAGTCTAGTTCGTTTAAGATAATTCTCCTGTGTTAAGTAAAGGGAATTTATCCCTTCACTGGTTCAGTAAATATTCATCAAATACCGACCCTGTGCCGCATATTCTTCTAAGTGCTGGAGATACGTCAATGAACCAAACAAAAGCTGGATGGACCTTAAAACCAACAGCTAACTATACTAATAATTAATAATTACATACATTACCAGGTATAATGATAAGAAGTGAAACAATTTGTTGGGAAGAAGAAGTCGTGTTAAGTTGGAGAATCTTAATTTTTTGTGGAAAACAAGACTCCTTTTTTGCCAACCTGCAGCTCATAAAGGGACTATTTAGCACCAAAAACCAACTTCATATTCCACTGGTTTTCGTTGTTTTCTTACTATAAGGAAATCTCAGAGAAGAATTCTGGATATCAGTCCCTGAGCCTCCCCTGTTCTCGACAATAAAAAACACCTCTCTTTACCACCCGAAAACTGAAGCAACCGCACACAGAAGTAAATTCTATCTAGTATGAGCATTGGCAGCCCTGGCTTATTAATAAAACAATTAGGGTGGATGTAGAAGCAAGGAGAGAGCACTCGGAATAAGACGGTCCCTTCTATTTCTCTACGGCCTGTTTCACAAGTGACCTGCCTGAGGACAGGGAAGGAAAAAAGGACGACAGCGGGCACCCTGTCCCGAAACTCACCTCCGGCCAAATGAGAATTCCCTGCTGCCAAAGAGCAGGTATGTGTATGTTGAGGGTTTTGTTTTCTTCTCCTTTTTTTTTTTTTTTTTTTAAACCATAGAAGCATGGACCAAACAACAACAACAAAAAACCCTGTCTAAGCTTTGGTCTCATTCCTCAAACTCTGTGCCATTCACTGAAGGCTCTTGGATGGGTTGTTTTCTCCCTTCCAAGCTTCACTTTCCTTCTTCATTTCCTCCGCCCCTGCCGGCCTAGTGGGTCTAGGGACCTGCTTCCTGCTTCCCCCTGCTCTGTAATTCTGCATTTGACCCCAAGGAAAAGAGGCCAGATTACCACCAGCTGGGTGGGGCGCTGCTTCTCTTTGGACCTCACCTCCCCCCCAGGCACACGGTTAATTACTATCTGTTGGGCTTGAGTTCAGACATTTGAGTTCCCAACTTTCTCCCCATTTCCCACGGATGTTCCACACCTTGCGTCCCTCTCTCCTTTCAAAAGATCAATTCCCGCCTTCCTTCGCCATAAAACAGGCCACAGGGGCTTTCACTCCCGCAGCTCATTCCCCCCACCTCCTCCCCCATCCTGCCTCCCTCTCTCCTTCCCTCCCACTGACTTATTTGACTGATACTCTAGTGTGCCTGTATGTTGCCAGGCACGAGTCTAGACTCTAGAGACACCGCTGTCAACACAACAAAGACTCTGTCTTCGTGAAGTTTATATTCTAGTGGGGGGGAGGGGTGGCTAGACAACAAACGAATGGAGTAACAATAAGCACAATGCGGGGAAGGGGAAGCCACTAGGGAAACCGAAGAGAGTCAGATTATGTTAGATAGGGTGGTCAGAGAAGGTGTCTGAGCCATGAAGTGAAGTAGGGGACAGGCTCCAGGCTGCGGGAACAGCGAGGGCAAAGGGCCAGGAGGGTGTAGCATTTTAAAGAAAGGGCAGAGCCGGTGTGCCCGGAGCTGAGTGAACACGGAGGGGGTTGTAAGGGAGACGGCAGATGTGGCCAGGCCTGCATCACGCAGGACCATTTAATGTTTCACCAGTTACCCTGTCCCTAGAAACAGCAGGTGCTCTATTTTTACAGGTTTCTTAACCTGCCAATTTATTCCGTTCTCTCCTACATTCCCCTCCAGCTGGCAGCAATTCAAAAGAGAGAGAGATGAGGCAGAAGCTTGAGTTTCAGGCCTCCTTGTGTGTATCCATGCTTTCTGCTTGGCCTTGAACTCCTTCCCCCTTATCCTGAACAGTAAGCTTCTACTCATCTTTGAAGTGCGTACCTGAAGGTCGTCCTTGGATACTCTGGTTCCTCCTCAGATCGTATGACTCTTTCTCTCTTTACTAAAGGTCATTCTTGGGAGTCATGTTTGATGTTTCTCAAACAGAATTAATCAATAGCTCATCTTTAGTCCATAGCCATAGATAGATAGATATAAATTTAATTATTATGGCATTTATCATATGATAAAGGGAAGAAAAAGATCTGTCTCACCAACTAGACCCTATGGCAAAGAAAGGAAAGAAAGAAAAAAAAGAAAGAGAGAGAGAAAGAAAGAAAAAAAGAAAGAAAGAGAGAAAGAAAGAAACTATGCATGATTTGTTTATTGGTGTATCTTCAGCCCTAACACGATGCCTAGAGCATAGCAAGCACTCACTAAATGTAGAATTGATGGCACTTAACTAACATGCTCCATTCTCTCTGCTAGTAGAGCAGGTTTTGATCCTGACTCCTGCGATAGCCTCAGGAGGGTCTTCTGCAGCCAGTCTCGCTCCCTCTAATTTTTTCCACCTCAGGGCTGGCAAATTCCAGGCCAAATGGCGCTCTCCTCCTGCTTTTGTATTGCCTCTAAGCAAAAGCAATTTTTACATTTTTTAATGGGTGGGGAGAAAAAAAATCAGGAGAAAAATAATGTTTTGTGACATGAAAATTGCATGAAAGTTACACCTCAGTGTCCTTACGTGCAAATTTATTGCAACACAGTCCCACCCGCCTATGCACAGGTGGTCTTTGGCCACTTTCACACTAGAAGAGCAGAGCCGAGTAGCTGTGATAGAGACTGTTACGACCTGCAGAGCCTAAAATATTTGCTCTCCGGCCCTTTAAAGAGGAAGTCGGCTGACTCCTGCTCTACCAAGCAACAAGCATGATCTTTCTAGCAGAAATATAATCAAGCCCATGCTTAGAACTCTTCAGTCAAAGTGGACGGGCCTATGGACGGGGCAGGATTGAAGGCCAAAGCCTTTTGGGGCCAGATGGTGAGTAGTCCATGGAGGTTTCAGGATCCTTTTCTGTCTTCTTGTGTTCGCTCTAAATTCTAGTTAGTAAAATGTTTGTTTGTTTGTTTTTAAGTTAAAAAGAAATGCTTTTGATTTCTTTCTGTTTCTGCTGGGATACCATGTTGTTCACATGGCCTCCGACCCCGCCGTGGTCTAGCTCATACCCACGCTCCAAGACGGGTGGGGCAGGAAGGAGGACCAACAGATGTGTACCTCCCCATATCCATGACAAAGGTCCAACCTTGGTGACTTGGCAGCATAAATCCAGTGCCTTGAGGACATCTGTCTACTATGCTATTGACTGGACCTTGATTTGGCTGAAGCCACGCCTTGCTTTTTCGACCCAAGGAGCTCGTGAGTTCTCATGTTCTATTGTCAGTTCTCTCTCCGTTCCCTCAGTTCCCTCTCACGCACCCAGTCTGCCTCCCGGCTGTGCCCCCCCCCCCCGCCCCCCGTCTGCGGCAGCACTTGCTGAAGTCACCAGTGACCTCTGTAACCCTGTTGCAACGAACATGTTCAGTCCTCATCCACTTGGACCTTCCAGGAGCACATAGCTGTTACTCATTCTTCCTTCTCCAAACACTCTTTTCCCTTGACATTTAGGATGACGCGCTCATGGTTCCCCTGCCCCCTGACCGCCTTCCACTGTGTCCTTGGAGGCTTCCCTCTTCCTCACCAGCCCGTACATGCTGCCTGCCCTCAGGGCTCAACGCTAGCCATTCCCTCCTGCCGTCACTACCTTGTTCCCGGACAGTCTCATCCACGCTCTTAACTGTCACGTACACCGGGGTCACATTTTTATATTTCCAATCCAGACCTCTTCTCTGGGCTCTAGAACTGCACCATCCTGTGCAAAAGTCACGAGACACATATAGCTATTGAGCATTTGAAATGTGGCCAGTGCAACTGA